CTTAGGGATATACTCAGGCTCAGGAGAGGACGCAGCAGCGGCGGCGGCGGCAGCTCCTCCACCATCAGCAGAGCCTGAGGAAGAAGCACCACCATTGCTAACTGCGGCCGCTGCAGCAGCGGAGCCTCCTCCGAATCCATCGTCACCACCACCAAAAATACCATCGTCATCCTAAGGGGAAGATACGGATGTGAACCAAGGCGAGTAAAGTGTAGATATGGAAGAACGTACGAAGATCCCAGGAGCGGGTGCCGCGAGCGCTACGATAGCCGAGGAGACGAAGGCAATGGCTGCAAAGGACTGAAGTTTCAGGAGGAGCATGGCGAGATCGGCAGAAGAGTGAAGGAGGTGAGTCAAGCTGAGCTAGGAAGGAGAGGAGATGGAGAGCTGCTGAGTTATTCTCAGCTGAAGATATCTGACTTTTATACCGTTACACCCACTCCATTCCTAGGCTGATTCATGTCTGGCACAGGTCTTCGAATAGGGTGAGATGTAGTGTTTTGACAAGCACCGGTACGAGATGTTTGAGACTTCGTGAGGGTTTAGAACTTTACCCCCTTTGGCGATGCAAAAGTGGCAGAGATGCAAGCTGCCAGCTTCGAGAACAGTCCGAGTGGAGCATTGAAGTGTTTAGGTAGACGTCAAACACAAAGACGAAGCGGCTGGCGGCGAGGGCGAAGGTAAAACGAAGCGACGTAAATATGAGCCGCTATGCTCCATGCGAGGTGCATGAGCGAGAGGGAAGAGGGATATATTATTATCGAGGTTAACGCCTCACATGTAGAGGCTTTTCTAGACGAGAAGCGTAAAGAACAGCGGCATTACGTCTTAGTGGTGCAAGGTCGAAAGTGTGAAGAGGAAGAACGAATAAGAAGCATACCAAGAGTCCTCGACGACTCATGTACCAGTCACTGAACCACAAACCCCTTCCAACCCGTTCGTCTCAATGGTCATCGCTGTGTGTAGGCTATGCGCGGGTCGGAGACATCGCTTGCCTGTTAAACAACAGTAGAAGGGAGAGTCGAGAGGCTGGAACAGTGGAACAGTTGTGATGTTGTTGACGATGGTGGTGGTCGGAGGAAGGAGGGATCACGGCTTCATGACCGTGTCTGGTGGGTGGCCAGGTGTTGCAAGAAAAACGTTGCGTTCGATTCGTTTCTTCCTGATCGCAAGGAAAACTCAAAATGGGCGGCACTCAAGAAAATGCGCGATTTGAGAAGCGGTATATCATCAGAGATGCACGTAAATACTATATGTAAGAAGAAAGGGAATGTACTGTGCGAGTGCAATAAACATATGAAGCAAGATGCATGCATGAGTGGGGGATAACGAAAGCGATGTGGAAGGGGAAAAGAACGCCGGACGAGAAGGATGGATGACAAGGAAGGATGAGGAAAGGGATAAGAGAAGGAAGGAGCAGGCGCGGAAAGAGAAGACAGTCTGGAAAAACAAGCAGGAAAAGAGAGATGAGTGAGAGTGATAGTGGACGACGGAGAGCAATTGCGAGCAAGTCGAGGAAAACGGGCAGACAGAGAAAGTAGCAATCAAGAACACAAACACACACGACGACGACTTCCCAGTCGGACACCACGCCGACCTCCAATGCCGCACTACCTCCGCACTCCCTCCCCCTCGCCATCAACATCCATCCTCTTCTCCTTCTCATCCCCAAGACTGCTTAAACTCGTACTCGAGCTCCCCCTCGACGGTCCGAACCCAAACCCAAACCTACTGACGCTCGCACCGGCACTCGTGCTCGTTGCACTAGGGCTGAGCACCGCTCCGGGGCTCAGAACGCCCGCACTCGCACCTGGGCTGACAACACCCGCGCTCGGGGGTCGCATATCCTCATCCTCATCCTCATCCTCATCATCCTCACCCTCCGCATCCTCGTCGCCCTCCTCCGCCCTCTCCTTCCCCTTCCCCTCCCTCCTCCCCTGCCCCGGAAACTCCAGTAAACCTTCAGGCTGCTCATCCCCACCCTCCACCCCCGCCCTCCCCGCCCCAACACCCACAACCGCCAACCTCCCCACCCACGCATCCGCCCTATCCAAACTATCCTTCACCACACTCGTCACACTATGCATCATCCCCAAACTCTCCGTCGCCAGCGCCAATATCCTCTGTGCCGCTCCGATCGCTGCGTCCCGACCCATAATCGCGCCGGGGGCGTCTCGAGCTGTTACCGCGCCAGATACACTTTGTGGAGAGGAACCGGGAAGTCTCCCCGTTGCGACTCGTGGACTAGCAAGTGGACTCGTCGCCGGACTCGCACCCGCACTCTCCGTCGCCGCTGAGCCCGTCCCTCGTATCGCACCCATCGCAGCAGGCCTCCGCCTCGCCCTCCCCGCAGACGCAGCAACCACCACCTCCCTCTCCCTCTCCCTTAACCTCGTCGTCGTCGTGGGCAAATCGGTATGCGACAAACTCAACGCATCAATCCCCGGCAACACATCCGTCGTAGCACTCAACGCGGGACTAGGAGGCACACTCACCGCCCCACTCCCCGTCCCAGCCGCCGCTGCCCACCTCTTCGGCATCCCTAGCACAAAGCCTCGTACGCGAGATCGGGCAGGTTCGGGAAGTGCGCCGCCTGCGTATCGAGAAACGACGTCGACGGCTTGGCGGATGGTGTGCACGAGGTCGCGGCGGACGGCGGTCAGGGTGCGGAGGTGGGCGGGGGAGACGTAGGATTGGGAGGAGGAGCGGGAGTGTCTCCCGCCGGAGTCGGGTGGGGCCGGAGGAGCGGGTTGTTGAAGGGCTGCGGTGAAGTCCCGCAGGATTAGGATTTGCGCGTCGATGTGCGCTGTTGCGTACTGTAGAAATGCGCACCGTCAGTGAAGTTCATTACGGGGATGATGAGGAGAGGGACTGACTTGGAGCCACTGTAAACAGTACTTGAGCCTCTTCATGCTCTCTTCGCTCAGCGCGGCACTTAAGCCACCCGCCTCGAGCAACGCGCGCTGCCATCGACTCCTTTGCACAACTTCCCTGTGTGCCTCAGAAACTGGCTGCTCGCTTGCTCGCCTAGATTGCGGCTGAGGCGTGACCGAGCGTGATCGCGATCGACTCGTACTATTTCGCCTCCGTGATGGATAATCACCGTCGTAATCGTCATCGTTGCCTTCCCCCGAAGGTGAACGAGCCCGCGCAGGGCGGCGGTAATGTATCTGGGAAGTCGATGCCAAGGCGGAGGAAGATGGGGTTGGGGAAGTCAGGGCGGATGTAGATGCCGATGCGGAGGTGGGGGAGGAGATGGACCGTGGGATGTATGGGGTTGTGGCTGTATCGAAGCATTAGCATGTGTTTCTCCAAGAATGACACCGCTGGGAGTGGGAGTTCGGAGTTGGAGATGGAGATGGGTTGAGGTGAGGGAGAGAAGAAGATGAACAACGTACATTCGAGCCAGCGAGGGACTCTACTCTCTCCTGACGGTGTGTCCATCTGGATATCGAGGTCCATGAGCCTATCAGGCCCGTTCTCCTCGGTAACAGGCGTTTGTGGGGTCGAGCCTGCGCGCCCATATCGCCCAAACTGAAGGTCCATTATCAGTTCCAAACCGGCCAAATGAAGAGAGTGAAAACATGCACCCTATCGAGCTGCCTACACGCAAACTCGTCCAGCGTATTGACGTTCACCGGAAGTTTACTCGAAATAGAGAAAACAGACGACTCCATCATCTCTGCGCCGTACTATCAAACGTCCGTCCAACCAACCATCAGCATCGCATATCACAAACCAATAAGAAACAAGACAAAACACACATACCTTGACGACGCTCGAGCTCGCTTTACTCATCTCGTACGCCTTCAACGCGCTGTTCACGAACGGCAGACTCGCGACCTTCGAAGCGAACTGCACTTGCCCTTGACACCCTTGCAAGTCTTGCAGTGCAAGAGAGGTGGTAGAAGCTGAGGGGGAAGAGGAAGATACGGAGAGTGCTGGAGTTTGTTGGATGACAGCTGCCATGGACGCTGAGTGTGAGCACGATTCATGCAGCACAGGGAAGAGAAAGAGACGACGTACAGCTCTTTCGCATATCCCCCAACGCCATTATCGCGATCCGCACGCTCTCGTCCTGGTCATCAACTGCCATTATCGCGTATGCGTATCCTCTGCTGGGTTGGATAAGGTGGTGGTTCGAGCCCAAGTCCCGTTTCTCTTTTCAGAGTGTCGTAGAGATTCTTGCCAAGACAAGAAGGTTCCTCTTTGGTGTTGCGCGCAGAAAGCTCGGATAATGAGTGTCAAGAAAAGGACGAGGAGGATGAGGGAAGAATGAACAAGGTAATCGGATTATCACATGGCGGAGGTGGCATCGTGAAGAGAATCCCAGAAAATCCCATGTGAAAACGCGGGTGCACGTTCTAGACAGAGCCATTCAGTTCTGCATCATTTTCCATTCAGTCGTGGATCATCATTTGTTCCCCATTCAGTCGGAGATCGGAGGTACCGCCGGGATGCAGAGTCGTTGGGGGAGAGTGCCTATCTGATAAGAGCGTCAGTGTTACAGTCGAGGATGCAGGAGACAGAGGCTTGAAGTAGAGAACGTGCTTTAGAGGTCTTTCAGTTTCACGATCCTACGTCGACAGTCGAGCAGCTCGAAAAACGGGAAACTCAGGTCTCGTCGCGCACCTTCTATAGCTTCTGGAATATGTAGTCAGCCTACTGTATACTGTGGTGCTCAAGCTTTTAGAATTAGAATGCAAGTAAGGCATCGTTTACACGCAGAATACACTGGACGTGTTTCTTACCGCAAGAACCGTAAACATCGTGTCCAACTAGGGTGCACAGGCGCCCTGTACCACGCTGTACGAATATACATGATGGTGAGCGTTACAGCTGGACTCGGGCTTTGCTTTTCAGGACATGCTGATTGCGCCGACCGAAGAGGCTTTCGCTGCAGAACTCTACATCGCAGACTGCGACGTGGGAGCTAGTTGGATGACAATCGTTAGAGGGAAAAAAAGAATATTTTGGCATGCGCGGCCCTATCTTCCAGAGTTCCCTTAGCTCAGTGGTTAGAGCGTGCGATTGCAATCCATGAATATACTCGCGCACCCATCGCAAGGTCCCGCGTTCAAATCGCGGAGGGAACTTTTTTTGTCAATGTTCAGGTTCTTTTATACCCGAGTTAAAGAAAATATCTTGCGAACCCTTTATGTGACTAGTTCCCAGGACTCCGTTGAGGGTCGCTACAGCATTACAATCCTTTCACCCCCAGAAAGTCTCAAACATGTGGTAGTAGTATTGTACCAGTGCCTGTCAAACCACTGGATTTCACCCTGTTTGAAGCTTTGTTGACGTTCCAGACACGAATCCGAGTCGGCCAACAAATGGAGGAGTCCTAACGGTATCAAAGCCAGCCACCCCCAGCTCAGAATAATAAGCAGCTTTCTCTTCATCCCTTCCCCCTCTACCTCAGCTTTACCATCTCCCTCGCTCTTTCATCATTTCCAACATGCTCTTCCAGAAATTCCAGTGCTTTGCCACAATCGCTCTCCTGTCTTCGCCATCGTAGCCCTCGCTGCGCCCGCCCCAGGAATCTTTGTACGTTCTTCCTTAACCTGGATTTCTTTGCCTCTGCTAACATCGAGGTCTTCTCCTTAGGATGACGGTGGTATCTTCGGCGGCGGAGACGATGAAGTTGGCGGAGGTTGCGCTGCTGCTGGAGGAGGAGCTGCTGCAACTGCAGCCGCCGCTGCGTCTTCTCCTGAGCCTGAGTATATTCCCAAGCCGCCTGCTCCCGCTGCGGCCCCTGCAAAGGTCGAGCCTGTTCCTGTGAAAGAACCCGTGGAGGTTACTCCCGTCGTACGCGAGGCACCCCCGCCACCTCCTCCTAAGAAGGCCGTGCCTCCTCCGGCGCCGAAGAAAATGAAGAAGGTCTACAAGCCTGTTTAAAGCCTAAGCAGAAGGTCAATCCCGTAAGCTTTCATATACCTCTACTAATTCGCAATCTTGCGATCGTTACTAACCAACCGTTAACAACACAGACCCCCAGGCTCAAATTCAAGCCTCAACCCAAGGTCAAGCCTGCGCCTAAGCCAATCGTTCACCCCAAACCTGTGGTCAAGCCCATTGTCAAGCCCGCCCCCATCACCGTCGCGCCTAAGGTTGCACCTGCACCGAAAGTCGCCCCAGTCGTAGCACCCGCCGCTGCCGAGAAAAAGCCTGAGTTCATCCCTGAGTACCACCCTCCCAGTTCTGCGGCTGCCGCTGCTGCTGCAGGGGGAGGTAGCGCTGCCGGAGCTGGGAGTGCGGGTGATGCTTCGAGCGCTGCTGCTGGAGGAGGCGGAGGGTATGACTTCCTATGATGGTCCATTTGGGTTCTTCTATGTGGGCAGTACGCTAGTTACAGTTTCACCAGGGTTGGAGTAGATCTTGATATAGAGTAGACGTTTGGCTCATTTGACTATGTCATGCTTGCTTGCTTGATTCTACCCTTGCGTGTGATCATGATTCTTGTGTCAAAGATATCTTGACGTCGAACTTAAGCTTGTCCGGTAGCTCGCTTTCGATTCGCTGCAGACGACGATGCCAAGTTGGCGAAAATGGTGCAGAGAAGAGACGACAACACCAGACACGGTCACGACACGGTGATCCCCCTTTGTCTCCGACCACCATCATCGTCATTCACACCAAAGCCCTTCCACTTTCCCAACCTCTCGACTCTCCCACCCACTGCCTTCCAATGGACTAGTCACTTCTTCGCCTGCGCATCGGCAGACACAGCAAAGACCATCGAGACGGACGGATCGGAAGGGTTTTGTGTTGTGTTTCAGTTCAGAGGTTGGTTCACGAGTCATTGACGACTCTTGGTACGCTTTCCCCTGCTTCTTGTCTTCAAAGTTTGAACCAGGCTTCCGGAGCGTATTTCCCATACCCATACCTCTTTACTTCATTTCTTCGTTTTTCGTCTTTAAACGCACAGGCTGTACATGCGAGGCGTCGACCTCAGAGAAATCCATCCTCACTTCCCTCTATTCTCTGTCGCTTGTGCACCTCGGCTCGAGCGTAAAGGCTTATTCTTACATCTCCTCGCTTCGTCTTCACTTTGCCAACCATCCATCTCACCTCTGTCTTCGACGTCTGCATCAACGCCCAGTTGATACCACTCTAACTCTTCTCGAACCTGGAAGCTCACACTTGTCACTTTTGCATCGCTAAAGGGGGTAAAGTTCTAAACCCTCACGAAGTCTCAAACATCTCGTACCAGTGCCTGTAAAACTACAGCATTTCACCCACCTTGTTGGAAGCTTCTGTCCTAGGCATGAATCGGCCAACAAAGGAGGAGTCGTATAAAAGCCAGCCATCTTCAGCTCAGAATAATAAGCAGCTTCTCTTCATCCCTTCCTCCTCTACCTCAGCTTTACCATCTCCCTCGCCCTTTCATCATTTCCAACATGCTCTTCCAGAAGCTCCAGTCCTTTGCCACAATCGCACTCGTCTCCTCGGCCATCGTAGCACTCGCTGCGCCCGCCCCGGGAATCTTTGTACGTTCCTTCTTTCTCCTTGCTTGGCCTTTTCCAACGTCGACCTCTTCTCCTTAGGATGACGGTGGTATTTTTGGCGGTGGAGACGATGGATTCGGAGGAGGCTCTGCTGCTGCAGCAGCCGCAGCCAGTGATGGCGGCGCTTCCTCCTCAGGCTCCTCTACCGGAGGAGGAGGAGCTGCTGCTGCAGCCGCCGCCGCTGCGGCACCTGCGAAGGTTGAGCCTGTTCCGGTGCCAGTCAAGGTTGAGGAACCTGTGAAGGTTGTTCCTGTCGTACACAAGGCGCCTGCGCCTGCGCCACCTGCTCCCAAGAAGAAGGTGATTCCTCCTCCAGCGCCGAAGAAGATGAAGAAGGTGTATAAGCCCAAACAGAAGGTGCCGGTCAAGGTCAAGCCTGTACGTCTTTGCATATCATTTCTACTTCCCAATTTCGTTAATTAAACCAACCGTTCTCGATATAGACTCCTAAGCCCAAATTCAAGCCCCAGCCTAAGCCCGTCTACCACCCTAAGCCAATCGTCCACAGCAAGCCCGTAGTCAAGCCCCCCCCTCTCCCCGTCGCCCCCAAAGTCGAGGCACCCGTCGGCGCTTCTAAGGCCGCCCCGGTCGTAGCACCTGCAGCAGCAGCTGCCGAGAAGAAACTCGAGATCATCCCTGAGTATCACGCTCCCAGCTCTGCCGCTGCTGCTGCTGCTGCTGCAGGAGGAGGTAGCGCTGCTGGGGCCGCGAGCGCGGGTGATGCGTCGAGTGCGGCGTCCGCGGCTGGAGGAGGTGGAGATGACTTCGATGATGGTCCCTTCGGTTTCTTTTAGAGGAGTAGCACGCTAGTCAATGTGACTGATTTTACGATGCTTCGAGTAGGACGTTGTCGTTATGATATATATCTGCTTTCTGTTCTTCCTCCTTTAGTTGCGATGCACGTTCTGGTTGTCGTTCTTGATACGGTGGTTTTCTCGAGGTCAGACCGAAGGATACATATACCATCTGAACGTGAGCGCAAACGCAGGTAGCAGTGTACTGAGAAGGATACGCTCTAATAACGTGGAACGTTGTGTCGATCTGTGTTGTGATGAATTGACTTGGACACTTTCAACTCGCGCATAGTCTGATACGCTGCTCATTCTTTGTTACGTATGATAGTTCAGATAGATCAAAGCTCATGAAACCCGCTAGACTGATATGCTAACAAGCAATTGAGCTGAAAGCGTGAAACGGGACCAGTTTCGAGGCCGCTATCCAAATTATCGCAAACAAAGTTTATCCAAATGCGTTGTGTTGATTCAATAAGTAGTAATAACATGTATCCGTTACAGGTGTATCCGTTACAGGTGTATGCGTGACAGGTAAATAACCCAGGTAAGTAAATATATGCGTTACAGAAGATCCGCCCAATATGATATTAGATAGAGATGAGGGAGGATTTAGCGGAGGAGGGACTGGCCGACGGAGGAGATGGTTCCGTCGTTGTTGAAGAGGCATCCACCGGTACCGACGTGGGAGACAGCACCGCCATGGTTCTGCTGGAGGAGCTGGGGAGAGGTGGCGACGAAGGGGAAGTACATGATGACGTATGCACGTCCATCGAGCCACGGGATGGCCTGGTCGAAGAAGGACTTCTGCTGAGCGGCGGAGGCGGGGGCGACGAGGGAGAACTCGGAGATGACGATCTTCTCGTTGGGCCAGCGCCTATTGGCGTCCTGGATGAAGGCCTGGAATTGGCCAAAGTTCGAGCCGTACCAATGGAGGTTGATGTAGTCGTGGTAGCATCGGCCGGCGCAGATGTTGAAGAAGGACTGGAGCCAGTTAAGACCCATTCCTCCGTTGGTCGAGGAGGTGACGGAGGGGAAGCCCTTGCTGTAAACGGAGATTGGCTGTTTAGTATCCGTGCTGGATGAGTGAAGTGGGAATGTTAGACGAACCGAATGGTCATGGGGTTGATGTGCTGGAGGTAGTGGTCGACGGCCCTCTGGGGGGAGATACCGTTGAGATCAGGCTCGTTAAGCTAAAGGTGGGCCAGTTAGTGAGCATGCTCAGGAGGAAACGACACGAATCACGTACCGAGAAGACATCGGTCCATCCCTGCTGGCGCCACCTGTTGTGGAGCTGGCCGATGGGGGAGGCAGCGCTGTCAAGCAGAGCCTGGGTACCGATGAAGTTGACGGCACTGAGAGCAGGTTTAGTCACGTCGAAACAGAGCGCGCCATTGAGGTGGTACTCACGGGGTCCTAGCGGGCCTCCAGGTCTCCCAGTTGTACATCCACGTCACCTTTCCGCCGTTGGTGAACCTGCCGGGGTCGATGTTCTTGCCCTCGTTAACTGTGAGGAGTCGTCAGTCGATGATTGCTAATGGTAGGTAGGGCTCGATGACTCACACCAAGGGTAGGCGAGACCACGCTTGGAGGCGGAGGCAACGCTGACGAGAGCGGCAGTGACGGCGAGAACGGAGAACTTCATGGTTGAGAATGAGAGGTAGTGAAGAGGAGGGGAGAAGCGATGCTTGCTGAGGTTAGCTACCGTTTCCCCATCTGGTCTTTATACCCGCCGTGGGACGTGCGTTCCTCGATCCGTTGCCCTGAAGTATCGTAAATGCCGATAGACCAGTGCAC